AGGTATTTCAGTGCAGAATGGCGTAAACAGCATGCAAAAATGCCATATGCTTCAATATTACTTCCAGTCCTTCTCAACAGAAATCGATACAACTGTCGTCTCACACACAAACATGTTAGATCATATCATATAGACCCTCTACTCATTATGTAATTTAGCACGGAAAATTCAGTAGCAAAATAAATAAAAATGATAAAAATAACCTTCACAAGGAGTTTGAGGTAAATATCATCAGACTTCGAAGCAGTGAGCTTGGTCTTATTGTTCTTAACTCCAGTGACCAAATCAATACCCTAAATCGGAATTAAAATTAAAAAATGCGAACCAAAATGCAGGATGAGATAGAACGGCGAGGAAAAAGAAATGCAGATCGTGTACCTAAGAGTGGAATACCAGCTGAAACAAATACATAAAGCCCAAAATTTTTATTTCTTGTTCAACATAATCGTTAATATCGAAAACTATGTTTAGTAATTTTCTTTTTCAAATTATAAACAATCAAATGATAGTGAAGATTTTAGAAAATGAAAAAATACATACATAACAAAACTTTTAGTACTCTTCATAGCAGCCTTCTCAGTGCTCTTGACAACAGAGAAAAAACCCCATGTTGCATATTATATAATTAATTTTTTCTCCAGTTAGTCACAAACAAAGCTAACTAAAGGAAATGAAATTGTAATGCTCCCATCAAGAAGAAATCGTCAGAAGAAAGACCAAATTCCAGATAATTTCATAAAGGATTAATATTAACACTATTTTTATTATTTCACATTGACAGCTTCCGAAAACATGACTTCACTTATTTTGGGTTTGACCTCTTCGAAGATCGAACAAAAAAAAAATGAAACGACAGAATAGACTGAATAATAAAAACCAAAAGCAATATATAGAAGAGGAAGGAATCGAACCCAAAGTCGAGTTGCGTCTGGAATTTGTTGCTACGGTGGCTCGAAGGTAGAGATTTGTTGGTTGTCGAGAGAGAAGAGAGAGCGAACGCAATTAGGGTTAAGGCAGAGAAAATAGGAAACCCAATGTCGAGTTACGTTTTTGTCATTTTTTCCTCCAAACGGCTCAATCGACTTAAACGGCTACACGGCTAAGGGAAGTCGGCTAGGTTTGTGAACAGTATTGGAAAAGTGAGTCTTTTATTTATGTAGAATATGTACATAAATCTTATTTAGCCCTTGTTTGATTCCTATTTTTTTTCAAAGTATATATTTTTCTCTCTCATATTTAACCACACATTTTTCAATAAAATAATATTACACGTAAATTCAAAAAATTTCTATATTTTTTAACCACACATTCTTTACCGATTTACCATTTCAAAATGTATTATAAACATTTTAATGGAGCTCAAACAGACTCTTACTCTAAA